AATTGAAATACCTATCAGATGCTTCATATTGAGTTATAAATCACATTTCCATTAAGGAATGATTAATTCATGAAACTACTTCGACCTATCTGCGCTCTGATTTTAGAACAAATAAAAAGAAAAACTTTGGGCATATTGTGTCTTAATGCGTGTCACATACGAAAACAAAATTACACTTTTAGATGCGAAGTATGAATAAACACGCTTGACTTTTTCATGGTGGCGTAGACTTGGACTGTGGTTTCTGTATCATGGTAATATGTAATTACAGACGTTTCAGATTAACCTGCTAACTCCGTGTTACAATATGTTACTTCTATTCGTTCATTGAAGAGTTTGTAACAACTCACAACACTACCTGGTCACAATTCAGGAGATCGGTCTAAAGGATAAAGTCGGCCGGAATGATATTTCAAGGAACTGGAAACGATGTAGCCCTTACTCGTTCAGATAGAGTGAAGAATTATAAGAACTCACATATAAAGGCGCTTCACAATACTCGTGCTCGTGCTCGTGCTCGCCAGGATTGTGCTCGTCTGGCTTTTACTTGTGCTCGTAAATCTTCGTCCACACTACTTCAGTTGCTCGCCAGGCTTCAGCGCGTGAGGATCCGTATATTTACTCCTAGTGTGTATAGGCTGTAGTCGTATTTTAATTTATTGGCTATAGTTTTTAAATTAAAAATTAAAAATTTGCTTCTGTCGTGATTTGTCATATCGTCCACATTACTCGCGAGCATAGCGACTCATATGAGCACGAGCACGAGTAATGTGGAAGCGCCTTAATGGCCTACGTATAAGCCAGAATCTGATGCGGTACTTACAAGCTAAGCTTCTCTCTCTCTCTCTCTCTCTCTGTTCCTGTTACTCCAACTTTGAGAATGGAACATTCCTGAAACGCTTCGTTTCGCTTCAGTTTCTTACTTCTAAGACAGTCGGTAGGACTCATTGGGTAGGGATCAGCCTGTCGTAAGGCCACTGCCTACACAAACACAAGAAAAAACGTACACAAACATTCATGCCTCGAGCGGAATTCGAACCCACTATCCCAGTCTTGGAAGGAGTGAAGACGATTCATGCCTTTGACCGCGCGGCCACTGTGATCGGCAACTTGGTTCATGCAAAAGAAATACTGAATCAGTTCAACATAAATTACAACACTTGTTACATCCTTAGTGAGTGTGCCACAATTCAAGGAAAAAATACGTAGCTTTATCCAGCCCAGTAAGCTTAAATACGGTCTGAAGAGTTCTGTGCAGTGAAACACGAAAAGGCTTTTTTTTTTTAATTCGAAAAAGGAGGTTTATTGCCGCAGACAGCCAGAATGTTCGTTCAAAGCTTCAAATAAATCCACTGACATTGCATAGCGATCAATTCATTCACTTGTTCCTTCAGGAGGAAATGCGGCCACTGACAACCGGCTAACGAGTTACCCCGCTGCGTTATCTGCGCTGCAGAAGGGCATTACTGCGACAGGAACTCTTGGAAACAGTAAAACGGAAATGACTTTGGAGTTCTTGTCAAATAAAAATAGAATTTTTCGGTTTCATTTCTTCGGTTAACGAAAAAAAAGAAGGAACAAAAAAAGTCATATATTTTAAGAGAAATGTAATTTGCTTTTATCCCTTATGCATGATACGAGCTGTGTGGATGAAGGAAACAGAAATTCCGACGTTACTGCGAATTATAGCGTAACGAAAGGAGATGACGAAACCGTCGATCAGTTATGTGGTACTTACACTGTCCCTCGCGTGATGAGGCCCATTTTATTCTGCCCTGAATACTGCAGGAGTAAACAAATATGTCATTTACAAGGCCAATTTATATAATGAAATAATTACTAAGATTTTTTTTTGCACATTCAGGCTCTTCAACTGATGAAACCTCATCTCACAGAAATGTCAATGTTTCTTTTATTCTTCAGCGGACATGAAAGATTTTTAGAGATGCATCAACCATATCGAGAATTTGATCAAAAAAGACGGTCCTGCCACGAGGAAAATTAAAAAGTGAGAAAGTAGCTGTAGGGAGAAAAAAACAAATGTACATTAGCAAAACGTAACACGCGCAAGATTTTTATTTTTCAAGAAAATAAAAAGATAAGAGTAATTTTTAACATATATGAAATTTATCTATCTTGTTATGTGAAAAAAATTCACCCCACTCGGACAGAATAAATCACTGTATTTTTATCTTTTTTTTTGTATTTAATGACATTCTTCTGAATGCTGTGCCGATATAAATATACTGTACATATAAGAAATACAAGCAGTAGTTATTTGCTATAACCTCAAATTTCCATAAACTTGCCAACATGGGCGCGCTCAAGCATTCTGATCAGCATACGCAAATAGCAACGTTCTTTAGTGCCATAATAAGTTAATAAAAAATTTTGTAAAATAATCGAATCGTGGCAAATCTGCACCGCGCTACCTCTGGTGAAATAAAAACAGGCAATGTCGCCCGAGGGGTCAGATCCAGGGATGAACAGAATCGATGAAGAAGCTTGAACCGAACGACAAATCCAAGAAGTTCCAGTGAATAGATAACAGATAAATTGAATAATTGAAACAGTCCTCCCGCTTCAAGAAATTATAATTCCTATGATTATGAGGATATAACTTGTACACTTGTCTTCTTTAAGCATAATTAGAATGAACAAGTCAAGGAGGATGAGGTGGGCAGGGCATGTAACACGAATGGGGGAGAAGAGGAATGCATATAGGATATTGGTGGGAAAGCCAGATGGAAGGAGACCACTGGGAAGATCAAGGCGTAGGTGGGTGGACAATAATAAAATGGATCTTAGAGAGATAGGATGGGATGATATGGATTGGATTGATCTGGCTCTGGATAGGGACCAGTGGAGGGCTCTTGTGAACACGGTAAAAAACCTTCCCGTTCCATAAAATGCTGGAAAGTTCTTGAGTAGCTGCACAATTGGCGGTTTCTCAAGAAGGTCTCAGTTACATGAGTGAGCGAATGGTTACAAAATCCTTTGTCCGCTTTTCATGTGATATGAAGTGATATTTCTGATGCCTCGAGTGACAGATCGACTTTGAAATGCTAGTCATATGTATTCTTCATATTTCAAATTAACTAACATAATTCCTCGTGACACAATTCCCCTGCATCTAATCTGTGAATTATTTTATTTTGCTTATAAAATTTACTACTGTTTTCACTACACGGTTTCAACAAATAGAGCCTGATTCACACTGTAGCGAAGGGATGATTGTTAGAGCTGCCTTGCCTGTGATCATTTACGATTTGCTTATTTCCTTAATTTAAATTTGAATAGTTGATAAATCATCAGTCTTGTAGCAGCTCGAAGTTCGTTTTAAAGTAAGCAGTATCTGTTGGAAACGTAGATAAACGTAAAATTATCCTTGTAACAGGCCGTGGAGGCCCATTAGTTTGTGAAACGTCGTGGCGGTGAGGTTGTTAGCCTTACACGTCATCCTACCGCCCTAAACACCCCTAATATTCCTAGCACTCATTTCTGTTAGAGACTGAGTCGACCCCAGGGCCATAGTGCGGCTGAAAATATTAGGTAAATTGAAAGAAATCCATCGGCTTCATCGAGACTTGAACCCGCGACCTTCCAGCTTGTAGCATAGTGCCTCAACCAACTACGCTACCGTGTGTATCATAGCCTCGCTAAATTAGTGGGCAGTAAAGAAAAACTCAGTGAGCACTGAGGCAGTAATATAGCCGTTTATGAGCCTGGACATACTGGTGAGGGATAACATGTGTCAGCAAACAGCAATGGATGGTCAGCCTCGATGTATTAGTAGGAAACGGCAGCAGCCTACACTCAAAGAGCAAAATATGTGTCGTCATGGTAACTATTTCGGAGCCTGGGTATATCTGTGGGACATAAAGAGATCAAGCAATTTTCACTGAGGCATACGAGTAAGTATGGCTGATTATGGTTACAGACTCTACTGCAGCCTTGATGGATTAACCAGGAAATAATACAAGTAAGCAGGCTACACTGAGGTCACGGTAACTATCTGTTTCAGAACTTCACCTTGTTCATGGAAATAAGATCAACATTTTGCACTGAAAGGAAAACTGTTACATACGAACAGAAAAATGACTGCAAATTCTGTGCACATGGGATTAGTTTCTCAGACAATGCTGGGCTATGTTCCAGTGTATGGTCACCAGGAAGGCTGCCACAAATCTACAAATTGTATTCTTTATATAGCAGATAAAGAGACGCATGAATTTACTTTTCAACTGCTGGTGATATTACTGTAACGTGTATAGCTAGGGAACGGCGCGATAAACACCTTCTCGCTTAAGGTAACGCAACAACAGGAAGAATGTTTATAGTTCGTTGGTAGGCAACAATCAGCACGCCAATGGACTGGCGAGATTGTTATCACGTTTCTTGTTTTTGTGTGGTCTGCGCCACGCAACAATAGAACTGTGTTTTCTGTGCGTGGTTCGTGCCTAGGGGATATGAGAGAATACGGGAATGGGAATTGACTTCACTTGAGTTCGGAAGTTCCAAGGGAACAGCAATGTGGCCAGAAGAAGAATTAGAAGACTTAGTGTGTAAAGTTACGTGTGGTATAGTTACAGTAATCTTGAGAGTGTAAGAACTAATTGTAGTAGTTACAAATAGTGAAGACCCAGTAAACCGATTCACCAATCCAAACCCACGTCTTAGTCACTGAAACACTGTAACAATTCCAGAACAGAAATTTCATCCGGTAATATCAACTTAGCAATGAGAGCTTAATAGAAAAATATTTTCAACATAAAACATTAAGAGTGGTTCGGAAATACACCATGAAATAAAATATGGTTACTTCAGCTTCACGAAAAATAATCATACATCACATATGTTTTTTTTTCAGATTCAACTTGTAAGTTGTCATTATTTTATATACTTTTATTTTAAATCTCAAAAGGGCAATTTCCACTAGCTCTTCGTGGTGGCAGTGAAAACGAATTATGATGTGCGATGATTTTCGAAAGATGGTTTACCTTAGGGTAGTTACGTCACGCTGTCGGCTCCACGACGTCCCATACCGTCAGCACCGCGCAGTGCCACTCGACGCAACGCCTCATCTCGCTGCGCGACAACTGTTCACAAGACGACGGCACAGCCAGGACTGCAACCCGCCGCGCTCCTCGGCTGCTGTGTACCGCAGCTCGGAGTGCGCACCCCGCATTGCTCATGTGTTACGCAGACGGTATCACGCTTCTTGAACTGAAAGGAACGGGTATCCAGTACTTTAAAATACATTTAACTTATCTGTTATTATATAATACGCCACATTACACTGGTATGGATCCATATCGGTAGTTCAATAACTAAATATGTTCCTATATTTAACTGTCTGATGATGGTCTTGTACCACCGAAACATGTAGCACGAATAAAGTTCGAATTGTAAAACATTAAAAGCGAGTATATTTGTTGTGTTGACAATTAACCTAATTCCTACATATATTCATTATATTGTGACTTGCTTACTAAGTCAGTTAATGAATTGCTTTGCCAGTTGAAATATCCATGTGACTGTCTGTCAGCTGGTGGTTAGTTGATTAGCTGCTCAGTAAAAAGCCTCTTGTTCAGCTAGTCAGATGGTGAATAAGTCGGTTGATTGCTTCATTAGACACACAGTCACTTCAGTGGGTTGGTGGGGGAGCGACAATTATGTCAATCTGATGACAAGTTGGTCTGTCCCTATGGCCGCCAATTGGTTACTAATGCAGCTCTTTATTTATCTTTCTGTCTATTTACTAATCAGTTGGCCAATTAGTCAGATAGTTAGTTACTTGACTGGTTAGTTGGTCAGTTGTCTATTTGACTAGATTGTCACTTAATAAGCTGCTCAAATTGGCATCCGGTTGGATAATTAGCTGTGTACAATCTCTCAGTAGTAAGTAGTTAGTTGTTTAATTATTTACTTATTTACATACATCGAGCCATCTTTCTTTTTCTGTATTGGTTCATGTTCTCTAGAATTCATGATGATTTGCACCATTCTCGAGTAACCTCATCTGAATATCTGTTCTTTCTGACATCATAACATATTCAAGTATTTAGTTAGATTTTGGGTTAGATAATTAAACTCAAGTCTATCTTTTGAAGTGAATATTAATGTCCTTTCAACCTTATTCAGAGAGTTGAAATTGCAGAGATACATCTGATTCATTTCGCTGCTGAATTCAAATAGCTTCTATTGAATTTCACATCTGAAGCGTCTTATTTGAGGGGGAGACACGATATTAAGTTCTAAACATGCGCTCAAACGAACTCATAATTGCTCACAATGCAGTTCTTTACACCACATTACTGATTCCAGGTAGATAAATGTATAAATAGCTGAGCCATTAGTGCCTGAGTCTAGCCTTTTTGAAGTTGTAATTCTTATTTCAAAGTTGCCAGGTACTGAACAAATTCCAACAGAACTAATTCAAGCATGGGCTGAAACACTGAGTGCTGAAACCTTTAAACTCATTAATTCTGTGTGGAATGTGGAAGAACTGCCTGCACTGTGGCACTGTATACATACACAAAGAGTGTGATAAAACTGAAAATAGTAGTTATCGAGGCATATCTTTGTTATCAACTACATACAAAAGTTTATCCACTATCCCTTACTAATTTTTAAGTCCATATGTAGACATAATTATTGCGGATCATTGATGTGGGCTTTCTAGATATGAGATCAGCTATTGATCAGATTTTTCCTCAGATTATGGAAAAAATGAGAGTACAATGAGACAGTACATCAGCAGTTCATAGACTTCAAGAAAGCTTATGGTTCAGTTAGGAGGAAAGTACAGTATTGTTCAATATTCTCATTGATTTTAGCATACCAATGAAACTCCCCTCCAAAACCTAACCCTCTCATCAATATTTTGTCTGTGTGTCTGTAGGGGTGTGGGAAGAACATTCAAAAGAAGATAGCAAACAGGGCAATGGTCCACTTAATGTAAGGTGTGAGGTATCTTGATGAGGACTGTGTGTCCCTAGGCTGAAATTGAGACAGTATCATGTATGACATCCTTGAGGCACCTGACAGCACTCCACTGCATCTATGCCTTCCATTCATATGGTGCAATGCTGGTAGTGACTTCTTACATCCCCTTTATTTGTGGGACCGCACATAGATGTTAAAGGCTCTGTAACAAGGCTGGACTCCCTTGTCGGGATATCCTTACAGCAGTGGCCTGGGAGCTCTGACACACCATTATGGTGTACTGGTACAACAAGCAAATATGCAGTTGAGAGTTCTGCCAAGGGTAGGAGCAAACAAGTTAGAGACATTTGCCTGCTCTAACATGAAAGACATCTCTCTCTCACAAGCTAACATTTCTAGCATCCCTGCAGAATGAGGTCTAAGATACAGCCTCAGAAGTAGGTAGGCTTCAGGCAGAGACTAGGGAGCCCGGGCATACACAAACGGGGAGCAACCATGACTGGGACCACTAAGAGGCCAAGGTCTCAGCATAGCACCCTTCAGAAAGAAACAGGCCTCTGAAAAGGTTCAGGGACTATAGGAAGATAAGAACCTATAAGGATATCCTGATCAACAGAAAGATAGATATCCTCAACAAAGAATACCCTAAGGAAAAGCTGAGAGAAGGGGAACAAGACCTCATCCCAGAGGAACTGGGTAGGGAGTTTCATGGTATTCTCAAAGGAGAACCATCACATATGAGATGCTTTAAGCTGGAGGGAGGTGCATGAACTGACCAACAGTCTGGTCAATGATTCATTAGGGCCATTGAAATAGACAGGCTTGATTTGGGGGCCAATTTGAAAGCTATGGATGACAGGAACCTCCTCAGGTCTGTCAAACTGACTCTCAGAATGGACAAGTTTGACAAAATTCCTAATGAACTGCTGAGGTGGATTAAGGGCCTCAACCCAGGTGTTAATACAGAGCACTGGAAGGTGCTGTATAGGCTACCTGAACCACTAGGCAAGAGGACTGTCCTTCTTATAAACTAAGATTTCTTAAAATCGTGAAGGAAACTAGCTATAAGATATTCACATGACAGACTCAGGGGATAGTTAAGGTACTGGGTGATCCAGAAACAGGGCTCAGAAATTACGAAGGAGGATCAATGAACGCAAAATCCCGAGGATCTGATATTGAGAAGGAAGTGGCTGCTATGGCTACTCCCTCTGATTTTCACATCACTAAATGGAGAAGGATAAGAGGAACTGCTTCAGGCCTGCTCCAGTTGACTGGAGGGTCTATTTAGATAGAATTCATTCTGCTGGGAAAAAGAAGAGGAAGGATCAGGGGATGGAACCGGACCCCTCCAAGTAAGACAAAGGAGCAAAAGGGTAGAAGGAAAAACCTAACACCATGAAATTCCTTCAACAAAAATGTGATTAGCCCATGGGGTTAACTTACACCATAGCAAGACTGGTATAGCAGTCTTATGCCTGTAACTTGCTGTGGGACTCAGGAACCCTGGATTTATGGGGACAAACACGAAGTTCAGGTAGCTCAGGGGAACAGTTCCTTCTGTTGCACTCAGCGTTAATACAAGATCCTGTATTTATGTTAGGAAACACATTAATGTCTTACCTTTGTTGGAGTTCCCTTATAGGGATACGACAGAAGTCAGGATAACACACGTACATGGAAGGAGTTGTACAGAACTCGTCACCTCAGCATATTTTCCACATGACTCGGACAAACCAACATCAACTAAGGAGTCAACAGATGTCATCAACTCCTGCTGTAGCAAAAAAAAAAAAAAAAAAAAAACAACCCATCAGTATATGTAACTGAATGTACACCATATTCTCATATTGGGGGGGGAGGGTACAGGAAGCAACACTGAAGGAGAAAGCATTTTGAAATATGTGGTCAGTTTAAAATTGAATATTCTTAATTAGTGTAATAAGCTTATGTTCAAAATCCTCAGCAAGGAGGAGGTTGTTGATTTTTAGACTAGGGACCAATGAAGCAGGGAAACTGGTAAGTAAATGGCGTAATGAAATGTATCTGATGAGCCTTCCACATCAGGCCACAAGCACATTTTGTTTCATACAGATAACCTGGGGAGTGCTGTCCATCTCTTAACATGGAGCTCTCTCCTGGAACACGTTGTGCAGGTCTACATAAATTGAGAAAAATATTTTAATAAAATACAAAATACTTTTAAAATTCATAAAATAATTATTTATTTAAAAACAATCTTACAAATAACAAATATTTTAAATTAAAAAATGGGTAACAATTACATTTTGAAGCATATAAACTGCAAGATTTTGTCAAGAATATTCCATACAGTGAGCTGATTCTCCAGTGATTCGTGATAAGTTCTGGCAATTTACACCATTGATAGCATTAACCAGAGAACATTACAAACGATGGTTTGAATAGTGCAATGTCATGGCAAAAGAAATGGCTAAGAGTGTTAGCACCATTGAGCTACCTAATAGTCAGTACACTGAGACTGGAAAAGTAACTCTAAAGGAGCTATTCAGCCTCCACTTTCCAGACTCATGGTAGGCAGGTGATTCTTATGATGGACAGGAACCTGAACGTACACAGAAACAGAATAAACATGGGTAACTGGGACATGACTGTGACCTGTTCAGTCACAATTTCGATGGGCTTCAGGTAATTTTAAACCAATGAAATCAGTGGGTAAAGATTACATTTTTCAGCAAGGGTGGATTACACACAGATTTACTGGGTTTCTGGACTTTATCCATAGTCCGAAACTCTAGGTGTGTTCTTGTGTCCTCTATTACCTAGAATTCTAGATGATGGAAAAGTCCAAAAACCCAGTAATTCTGTGTCCTTATGAAGAGCCTTGCCTATAATGTTGAAGCCAGAGCCATCCTAACTGAAGTCCTCCTACATCTTTCAGTTCAAACCATGTAGAGCCAGACATCTCTAGTCTATGCCTAGCTAGAGTTGGGCATTGAAAAAGTATGTAGTAGGAGGATTCCTCCTCCTGCTCATAATATTTAGTTGATGCCACACTGAATAGCATTTAGACAACAACCGAACTGCCAGCATGCATTTTTCGTGTCCTAGGTCAATAGGTCCTTATTAGGTCTTTCCACTACCTCATACATGTTATAGCAGCCCAATCTTCAGAGTGCCTCCCCTTCATGCATGTTTAAACCTTGAAGCTACCATTATTCTGGTTTGGAACTGAGGAATGTACTACTCAGTCCCCATCTAACCAATGTATCTGCATCCTAATTACTCTGAACCTGTGACAAGGGAAAAGTGTAACCATAGTCTTACTAGTCAGGATGCACATTGCCTGTTGACATTCCCACATAAGCTTCAGTGTCATCCTTAATTCTTTCTTAATGGCCTACAGAGCTGCTTGCTTCTCTGAGCATGTATACATATGTTCACCTTTCCTATACTCTGCTTTGCACAGGCAGATGCCATAAATTTTCTTCCTGAAACCCTGTGGCATACACAGAAGTGATAAAGATAACTTCTTCATTGGTATCAGCCCAACACATCTGCCCCTGACCTCCCAGTTATCCTGGATCCATCTGTATATCAAACTACTCCTTCGGGAAGAAGGGTCACAGGCTAAGTTGATATCCGATGTTTGCATGACAGTATTCACCTTTAAAGGAGATCCAAAAAGCTGTCATTGGTATCGTATTATCCTGACTCATCTGAAAGACAGACTCTAGTTCCATAAGTCAGGCAAGGATCTGGTCATGACCTACATCTGAACTCCTTACTTACTTATGGAGCTGAGCCCTTCTTGAGGAGAAGCCAAATCTGCAGCTACTCAAGAATTTCTCAGCATTTCATGGATCCCGAAGATTCATTACCATGTTCAAAAGAGCCCCCCACTGGTCGCTATCCTGAGCCACATCAATTCAATCCATACCATCCCATCCTATCTCTCCAAGATCCATTTTAACATTGTCCACCCACCTACGCCTTGGTCTTCCCTGTGGTCTCTTTCCTTCAGGCTTTCCCACCAATATCCTATATGCATTCCTTTTCTCCCCCATTCATGCTATGTGCCCTGCCCACCTCATCCTCCTTGACTTGGTCATTCTAAGTATACTTGGAGAAGAGTACAAGTTATGAAGCTCCTCATTATGAAGTCTTCTTCATCCTCCTGTGACTTCATCTCTCTTCGGTCCAAATATTCTCCTCAACACCATGTTCTCAAACACCCTCAGTTTATGTTCCTCCCTTAATGTCAGAGACAAAGTTTCACACCCATACAGAACCACAGGCAAAATTATAGTTGTGTATATTCTAATTTTTATGTTTTTGGACAGCAGACGAGAAGACAAAAAGTTCTGGACTGAATGGTAGCAAGCATTACCCGAGTTCAATCTCCTCTTAATTTCCTCCTGAATCAGGTTTTGATTTGTTATCATTGTTCCCAAATATCTGAACTGAGCCACATTTTCAAAACATCTGTTTTCTACCTTTATGTCATGATTTTGCCCTGCACTTTGGTGACGAGAAAGCAACATATACTTAGTTTTCTCTGTGTTTACTTCTAGACCAACCTCCTTCATTGTGTATGCTCCACTCTATGATGCACAGGACCAGAAATGGTCAACTTGTACTTAGGAATCCCAGAAGGCTTCAATAGTCAAATTAGTTTTGAAGCATTGGATTAGACACTTTAGTACTGGCTGGTTCTCATACATATTTCATAATCGAGACTCATGATACCATCATGTGAATCTCTCCCTCCCTCCCTCCATGCATATGTTTTAGCTAATTCTTCTGGTAGTTTACTGTAAATGGATTCTTGCTGTTTATCACTGTACTTGATAAAAATTAGCTAAATTTATGTTGAGGTTATGGTAAATTCTCAGATTATGATTCTGTCTTCTGTTTGACATCAAAATATGGAGGTTTTAAGATATGTGACTGTTGAGTTACCAGAGTATAGGCATTGTAGTCATACCTAGTTTGGAGGAAATCCTTCTACAGAATCAAGAATAAATTAAGTTTTTACCTTGAGTTCTGATGTCTCTGGTATGCTGACAGTCACATGATGATAAAGAGTCACAAATAAGAAGTTCATGTAAGCCACTATGAAATCCATTATTATATTTCCATCTACATTATTTGGATTACTTTTCACATGATTTTGGAATATAAGGTCTCTTAAACTTGGAAACAAAAATCTCTACTTTTTGCTAACAGTAGCAATCCTGATTTGAGCCTCCCTACACACCATGATTGTTTCAGATACTGAGCCCAGACTGCTGCACACATTTCTGGCCCATCCTCAAGACAGACAACATTTCAGGCATGGTACTAATTTTTAGATGATATTTTTGCCAGTGCATTGCTGAAAAACATGCATGGCAGCCTGACACCTACAAGCAAGATGTAGCAATTTGTTAAGTGAATGTTTGAGAGATAATCAGAAAATACTGATATCCAGTCCAGACTGAGAAATTTATTTTCCTTCTCCTGTCAATTTCCTCTACACATCCACATATTTGAATGCACTAGAATTATGATAATATGATGTTCAAAGTATTGATGTTTAGTTTTTCTGAGCCACAGATATTCAACCATTTCTGCTTAAAATCTGCTTGATAAACAAGCATAAGCAGTAACTTCAAGTTCAGGACAGAAGCAAATATAGTGACACTGTGGTAGGCAAGAGGAGGGTGAAGCCTGCTCATGCATTGAGATTCATGTGGCAGAATTCTTCAGGTGTTTGATGAATCCTACATGAAAATGTGGTGTGTCCACAGGTTTTGAAATGGGGAAGTGAAATGTCTCAAGTTAATGTAAAATTTTGGCATTAATTTGGAAAATTGGCAACAGAAGTGCTGCAGACCATGTTAAATAGGCCTCTTCTTATCATGGCATGGCACAACCACAAAATGTAGTTGAAGGAAATGATCTCCAGATATAGAAGGTAGCTACAAATATACTGAATAAGCAGTTGCACACAACGAACAAATAGTCAAGCTTGGGAATTGGGTGAGTGATGAACAACTCCTCACTACAAAAATACTGGCATGTTATGAAATGTTACACAGGGTCTCAGACCTGAACAGATTCTTTGGAATGACATAAGCAATAGGATGTAGACATGAGATGTAGAATTTGGAGTATCACAAGTCTCAAAACAACAGGTTTATTGAAAAGGGTAGCAGGAGAATAATCAAAGTAGGAGTTAGATTATTAGAAGTACAGGTGGTCAGATGTTAGAAGAGTGACACTGAATCAGTGTACAAATATATTGTGACATGACTCATGAAAGCTGGATTAGTTCGCTGCTAGCAACGTCTCTGTAGAAACATTCCCACGGAAGCAAAATCGCAATAGTAGGAGAGCTGTGTTTTCTGTGAGGGCTTCCCTGAGGCTATACAATGAGGCATTTGGGCAGACACTTGACGAAAGGTCAAGTGTATTCATAAGAGACAAACCCATCTTCTCGTCAGAGAGGATGTTAAATAAGGACTATCAGAACAAGAGTTCAGTTGAAAAAAATCTCTGGTAGTAAAATATGGTCACGAGTCCCAAGGAACTCGAACCCAAGAAAGACTGCGCTGGCAAGGGCCAGCAGCATATACAAAAGACAGATCCGTCCTCTCATCAGAGAGAGCACCCCACAAAAACAAGACTGTAACTGTGAAACATTAATAAATATTTGGTCATGAGTCCCAGATGGGACTCAACACCAAGACTTACTGACTGACTGACTGACTGTCAGTCGCAATGTAACTTTGACTTTGACTGAGTGATAGAATT